ATCACACCCCACCAGTCATCCTTTTGCCTTGTCCTCCCTTGTTTTCATATAGTACTGGCTGAGTGTGAGTAATGCCATGAGCATTCAAAGATAAATTAATGTGTTTCCTTTCTGCAAAATTTATACTTCATGTAGAACAAGATAAATGTGAGATGAAACTGCACAGATTAATTCCCTAAACATCAGGATAACTGACAAAGCAAACAAGAATTACTTCGTTGGGATAGTACATGAGTAAAATAATGCAGAAACTGCTTTAAGTGACTGTGGCACCTTGGAGATACCCAAGACATTGCATCTTTGCCAAGACACAAAGCAGTTTTTGGCTCAAAAAGTCATAGCCAGTGGCAGTTAGCCATAAATGAACTGATCAAGGACAAAAGCAAAGGGAATAATTGACTGTTGATAAAAATAAAGCTAGAAATAATTAAAAGTTAGCAGAAGAGGCAGACATAATATTAAGTGGTATATACAAGCTAACATTAAAACCGTTATCAAATTAGTATCTAGAATGAAATCCAAACATTTTTTAGAAGCTATTATTGCTAAAGAATAATAAAATTCAGTAACAATCAGATACTCAGGGTGGGATTCAATATTAAGATACCTGATTGTGAGCTCTAAAGGCTCTTTCATGTATTATACGAGCTCTGCTGACTGTAATAGGAGCAACTACACCTTTATGGCACTGAAATTCTATCAGTCCCAAATGTCCTCCTTTCTCTTCCATCATTCTCTAAGAAAAGACTGAAATATGTATGTATCCAGCTTTGACCAAACCATGAACTTTAATCAGGGTCATACCCACTGCCAGTTAATTGGTTGAGGACCTTTTCCAAATCAGATCGCCAGGGATATTCAAATGGAGGAAGGAGGAGGGAAAATGAAAACATTTTAGAGGATTATTTACAGGATTACCTGGGCAGATCCATTCTAACTATTTAGGACCACAGAAATTGGTAAACTTTTGGGGTCTATATCAGTCCTCCTCTTACAAAGATGGATATTCTGAGGACATCAACTATCTGACCTCAACTGATGTTCTTGCCATTCAGTTTGGGCTTCACTCAGATGTTCTGAAGTCTTACAGGGGTTAAGATGACACATCTAATGGACATTTAAAATACAAAGCACTCAATTAGACACAAGTGTTACTGTGCTGAACTAGAATGCAGAGAGTACAAAACTGTCAAAAGCAGCATTGCTCCATGTTGACATACTCTTTAAAATTCAGAGAATGGTGAACCTCCTGAACATCCCAACACTTTTTAACACTTCCTGCCCCTTGTCAGCTACTTGACACAAAAGAATTTATTGCCTGTGAAGTTAATGGGTGAAGATCTGGCCACTACTATAGCCAAGCGTGACACTGTGGTAGCTTTAAAGAAAGACACAAAATGTGTTCATCACACATCACACATTTATGTATATTTGGGTGATTAACAGAAAAAACAAAGGGAACACTGAGAATATGGGAAAGAAAAGGAATGTAGGAGACATTACTCATCAGTGTGTTCCTATAGGTAAATATCTATTCATTAATCAGACAGAATGTGACAATGTGACAGAATTCAGAAATTCAGAATTCCCAACTGCTTATGCATAATCTCCAAGTACACAAGAGTGCAAAAGCAACTTTAAAGGTGCCTATTAATTAAACATTGAAACTTCCATCTGAATGCACTGGGATACTTAACACAGCTATTTGAAGAGGAGTAGTATCTCTTTCAAAGAGTAAAGTCATACAGTTCAAGTGGCAAAATTACAATGATATTATGATCTGCAAACCTTTCTCATCCACCTTTGGACAATAAGTAGTTTTGAAAGGTGAAAGCATACTGTACAGATTAAAAAATACCTCAACAAGCCCAAAACAATATGAACAACATTATAAGGTCTCTAGAATGAAGTAGAGAACACAACTATAGACCGTATAACAAACAGCCTTCATCACCAGCTCTTTCACCACAACATAGCAGAGAAGTTGGTCATCAAACTTGGTTTAGTGAAAAAAGATGGTTCCCAAGGGAAAAGAAAAAAAAATATTAACAGTAAAATGAAAACACAGCTGCACTTGAACAATTAAAAAGCCACAAAGGAAAAATCAGCTACAAAAGCCTGATAAGTGACTTCGTGGCAGTTTTTGGGGGTGGGGGAAGAAGAAAAAGGTGGAAACTGTTTGCAGTCAGGTCAACAAAAGTTCCAAGGTTATTTTTCTTTGATTTGCACTAGTTGAAATACCACAGAAAATAGATAAAAGGAGAAACAATATTTAAATCTATAACCATGCATTGCAGAATAAATGATCAAAGGACAGCATAGAATACAAATGATGTAAAAATTAGTTTAGTTGGACAAAGTAATTGCTGAGTCTTCAGAGTCTGTTATTTCTCATACTGCTAAAGCAACAGATCAGAATATTTCTAGGATTGAAAAGGTCTCCCTGCTTCACGTAAAATTCTTTTGATCAGACAGTTTTTGATGGGGCAAGTTTAAAGGGACTCTTGTTGAACAAGTTTCCATTGATACACCTCCTCAGTAGTAAGACATGAAAGTCAGTTTAGTTTATGCAGAAGCTGGTTAACTGGTGATCTATGCTGTGGCTTGGCAAATCTTATCTTTGCAATAATGAAAGGTTTCTAACAATAGAGTCCTTCCCATTGTACAGTTTTCTCACTCATCTTCCTCATTTTGCTTCTCTTATCTCATTTCTAAGAGTTTGGAAAATCCTTCAAGTCTTGCAGCACCTTTCTGCAATCAGCTAAAGCTGAATTTTTACTCTCTAGGGGGAACATTTAGCTGCAGAAGAAAGCCAAGAGAGGACTTGCAGAGTCCCAGACCAAGGACATGTTTTCTTATACCCAGCTCAGGCCTCACTGAAGTATCTCCAGCTTCTAGGTTCAG